ACCATATACAATGCAATACATGCTCCACATAGACCTGTCACAATAATTACTATATCGACTTACTGTTCAATAAATGATACCAGAGTCAGTATATTTTAGGGTCCTATATGTTTCGTAGGTACAGTTTCTTTGTAAAAGTGGGTAGTTTTGTGATATTTTTGCTATAAAATATGAAAAGATTTGAAAAAATAACTTCACTCGTTCATTCTGCTATTCATTTGTTGCAGTTCAGGTTTTTAAAATGGTACTGTCCATCTAAGCATTTATTTACTGGGATTATCTTGCATTATTGTTACTGTGCTAGTGGCAAAAATAGTTTCAGTATTATCATTTATCGCAGTATCTCTCTGTAGCAATATATAGTGCTTCAAAATGCGTTATCATGACTCCACAGCAAAATATAGAGCAAACCCATACATCTCCTCTCGGCTTTTGTCACTAAAGATTTATAGTTTTAACCATTATCATAGACGCCACATTGGTTTTGTACCAGCGGTTTACAAATGTCATTAACAGCAATCAATAATGGATGTGTCTGTGACCCCAAAACCCGAATTCAATAAGGCAGTAGTAGTGACCGCACAGTGCCTTGCCATTCCCACTATAGCAAGACCACAGTTTTATGATTCACGTAAATACAGGTTTGACCAATAGCTAATGGACATAACCGGGTTCAAAAGGTAAAATACTGAAAAAAACAAAACAAAACAAAAAACAAAAACAAAAACAGACAACCACTGGTCAATTCTATTACCGAGACTCTGAGTGACAATGACCCTGACCTATAGAATAATGAAGATGAATGACAGGGAGCAGGGCTCTGAGCTGATGCCTAGAAACTTCTCTCTGGGGAAGTCCATTTACCCTAACAAAATTCAGCCAGGGGACAATTTTCCATTAGATGATTTGGTGATAGGTTGCAAATTCACAGCAAGAGGTTGAAAAGTTAATTATTTGGGGTCATTTTGTCGACTTCAATCTGAGAAAGTGACACGAATAATACGGACAGCGATATAATCAGTGATAGCAGCCAGGGTCAAGTATGTGCTTCTGTGAAAGTGTGCATAGAAGAAGCAAGGAAGAAGCAAACTTTTAATCATTGCCATTTAGCCAAAAAATATTAAAATATATCTTCTTTCAAAGTCTAAACTCCAAAAGTTCCTACTATACGCTTTATTGACAGATGACCATTGATAATAAATCGATCTCAATCAAAATGAGATCATTTGCACAGCTTTTTTAAAGAAAAAATTGAAATATGAGTTATTATAAGTTTAAAACAAATATACTTTAGGTTCTACTATCATTGACTGGGCTCATACCACTGCAACAAAATTATCCCTAGACATCATGCGGATGTAATGTCCAACATAAATGCAAAGCAGGTCATGTGTAAAAGGAGACAGGCTCACTAAATATTTTTTAATCTCCAAAGTCATGTTAGAGCAGGTTCTCTAAGGTTCACCAATCTCTAGCCAAACAAGCAGATGAACAAAAAAGCAATGCACACAAGCCAGTATTGTTTCGTACAATACATACAAGAGTATGCAAAAAAAGATGCAATAAAGTTGTTAAATAACGTCATGCTTTTTTGTAGCTTCACAACCAGTGCTAAAGTAACAAACTGCATCAAAGACCAAAGGCAGGCTCCTAACCTCAAGTTTAAATATAAATATGTTGCTTTGTTTGATTTAGGTGGCCACAAAGATAGGCTTAGTCATCTCAACAATAAATAGCAACTTCCTGTGCCACAAAGAAAGGCAAAGGCTACAGGTTTGTTGAGAATTATAACTTAGTTTATGTAAATGAATTGTAATGGCAAGTATAATAACTTTGGTTCATCATATAGAAAATATAATAAATAAATATAATTGTAGACAATAGCTTTCTATCACAGCAGTCTTTTCATGATACCAAAATTTTATTTTCAATATCAAGGACATTTTCAGCTACTGATATTGGTAACACACCAATAAACAAGAGACTCTTTGAATGTGGTTTTATTCTAACTTTGGATAAAAAACAATATTCTCCAAAAACTATACATAGATCAACAAAAAATAGTCTCTTTCTGCAATTTCTTCAGTATCAATACTTGTTCAAATGAGCATCTAGTTACTGCTTTTAGAAGTGATTTGTATCCATGGGTATCAGTTTATTGACAACCCCATGCACATGAGCATTTGATATGAGCATTTATTTTTGATGAATAAAAAATCTCTTCTTCTCCATACCTCCTCCCCGTGGTGTGTCTGATGGGAGGATGTTATTAGCCTTGTCTTCTTCAAAGCAGCAGAAGACTGGATCTGTGAAGCGTCAGAGCTTAAGTGGAGCCTGAGGCATGTAGAGCTCCAGTCAAAGAGCAAACGTTTGGCAGGAAAGGAGTTAACATGTGTGACAGGGAAATAGAAAGGCCTACTATGTGTCACACTTCACACTCTTGACTGATCTTAAATCTACAGTAAATTATTCAGTTTTATATGTTAATGATAATAACTGGTAAATGCCAATAGAACATCGATAAACAAAAAAGGTAGAGGTGGCAGATACACAAATGTTATTTTTGAGATATGCAAAATTAGTGTGTATTGTCTTTAAAATGTGGCAAAAGGGCACATTTGTAATAAGTGGTTGCCTTTTTGTGAGCATTCATGATCAGTGTGATGCTAAACATTATGTAAAATACACTTTTATGAACTTTTAACCACATTGCAACGATGTTTCCTCGTCATAAACTGACATTATAAGCTTTCTCCTCTGTGCTAAATGTATTCTTTCATTACAATCTCCAACAGGCTTTGGACCAAAAAGCTCAAACATTACACTTGCTGCTGATAATGCTAATGTTTGATATCTTATGTTACTGTTAATCTTGACTATATTTTTGACCTTTAACATTGCTGTCTCCTTTATGAAATGTTGTTTTTCTTGAGGCTAATTCAGTCATAATTGATTTTCTCCAGTGCAGTTTTCCACGCAGCAGCCAACAGTGGTGTATTTGTTCGGTGTGGTCAAGTAGAGCGTTGACACAAACTCACCGAGTCATTCTGTGGAAGAAATACCAGAAAGAAGCACTCCACTGGAATTCCCAGCACTGACTCCCACTGCTCTGCATTGTTCTGCCACTGATTTGTGAGTACACACTGGGTCCCTGTGTCCCAAGCCTCCACAATGTGGCAAAGTCTTATCATATTCCCAGAACAAGCAGTGCACAGATTTTGACTCTCTTTGTTTTTCATGTAACTAATCCAGCCAAATGGGTCATGAGCTGTCGTAGCCTTTGTGACACTTCCAGGCCTGGATAAACAAAAAGGCTTGTAACAGGAAGGAGCATGCAGCACACATGTATCCGAAAGTAAAACAAATTTAGTTGTTTAGTACAATATTAATTATACTAAAAATAAATGGTTTGTGTTGAAAATTGTCTTCTGTTATATAAAAATAGTGTCTTTATCATCATTGTTTAATCAAAATTGGTATAAAGTATCAAAATTTTGTTAAATATTGGTATCATGACAACACTGGTCAATGGTGAACAAAAGACAAAGAGAAAATAAAGCACTTTTTTAACAAAATCTTTTGGCTCGCTCATTTCCCAGCTTCTATCACTCACTTTGGTCAAGTCAGACAAAACAAAAAATTGAATTTAACTACACAAGTCATTTTAAGAGATCACGCTGCGCTTAAAAACTAAAGTGACAAGAGCAATTCATCTAAAATTAAAATCACTCGCCGGAAGCTCCTCACCTCAGCATGACTCCATGGTATTTAGTAAGTAGTACAGGATAATGTGTTTGCCAGTTTGATCATTCAGACTCCCATCAGTCTGACTCACGCTTACTCTATGGCGACTAACAATGTTTCCACAATAATGAAATCCTTTGTGCAGACAGTTATGCCCTGGGCTTTTGAAAACATCTCCAAAGCTGTTAAAGACAGGAGGGTACTGACATTAAAATCTACTGGGACTTGTAGAAACCCCCTCTATATTCAGTCTTTAGTCACAGTATTCAAGTTCTCACGTCCTAATCACAACTTTCTGATTCCACTATAAAACTTTATGGTCCTTGCCCAGGCACTAATTTACAGGCTGTTCTTGCTCCGCTATGTTTAGTTTTTTGAATTTGCACAGAGTGTGTTGTTTTAATGGCTAACCAGGTTTTAATTATTTAGTGTTTAATTATATTTCATGTTCATGTCAATCATTTATTGATCTTCAGCGGTTTGTCCAACTGTTCCAAAAATAAAACACCCTTTCGGATTGTCTTAAAATACTTAAGACTTTGAATACAATTATACACTTGTTATACATGTTATTGAGATGTTAAAATGTTATTTCACAGAACACATAAAAACTCTAAACGTTTCATTGCAATCCATCCAACCATAAAATCCCATAAAGGGCGAACAGTAAAAAATGCATGTAAAATCTATTGATTTTTTCATGAAAAATCAAACCACATGATAAAGTAAGAACTCCAATGTTTTATAAGACTATATACTGTACAGTGCAATCTGAATTTGGGAAGATACTGCAGATTTTTGTGGTTGATGGTGATGCATAGGCCTGTCACGATAATTACCATCAGTCTTTATTGTAGGTACATTTTCTTTACACTACTGGTTATTTTGGATGTAAATTGTTGAATTAATAACTTATATGACTTATTGTAGATACAAACTAATCACTAAAGTGTTTCATTCTGCTATGTTAAAGCTTTAGAATATGTTTTTGTAGTTTAAATCTGTTTTAGGCTTATTGTGTCAGTGGTTTCAATATTATCGTTTATCGTCTATATTTACTTAGCAATATATCGAACTTCAAAATTTGTTATCGTGAGACGCCTAGTGATGCATCAGTCCATAATTGCAGTGTGACAGGTTACTGAGGTTAAAACCATAACACCTTTGAAGTGGTGAGGGGTGCACAGACTTGGCTGAAACATATAGAAGTGAATAGTTCTCTATAATGAAGTCTGGAGAGACTGAGGCAGACTCACCAGGACCCGGTTCTCCGTCTTGTCTCCTTTGATCTCCAGTTTGACTCTCCTCCTCAGTGACAGCTTCACCTTCCTCCCAACTGCATCCCTCACACTGTCTGCTCAAACACACAACAAAATCACCATTAGAAACCAGCATACAGGCCAAAGGAACAGTATTCTGAATCATAGCACATTTGTCAGAACATGGGCCCAAATAAAGCATCTTGTTTAGAGGAGAAATGTGGAAGTCTTTGAGGTATTCTACAAGAATATACTACAGAAGAGAAACATTTGAGCATACAGGTGCATTAAACAGAAGCACTCAATCACAATATGACAATATCACAAAAAGTATATTATGGCAGATTGAGATTTTGATATAGCCACAACCATATCATCCAGCCCTAACCACACTAGTAACTACTTATGCCAACTGTAGTCGGTGCAAATAATATTGGTTAATCATATTTCACCTAACTAAAAATATATTTAGAAGAGAATACAGTTCAGAATATAATAAATCATACAACATTTGCCAGCTATATTTATGGGCATACTAAGTTGGTGTTGCTGTTCAGATTGATTGTACACGCCCACAGAAACCCTCCACACACTCCAGGCTTATGGCACAGAAGTGGGTCAGCCGCCTCTCCACGCAGCAGCTGAGTCTGTCTGCGCTCACAACAGGAGCAGACTGTTTCTGAAGTCATGCAGCATAACCCCCTACACACCTCAAAGTCTGAGTGGGTCAAACTAGGGCTGAGTAATTTGGGAAAGAGCAAAATTGCAATTTTTCTACTTTTTTACTATTATGACTGCAGACATGCTTAATGCAGGAATAACATGCATTTAAAACATGTTTTCAAAAGTCTAAGACTTAGACTTAGACATAGACAAACTTTATTGATCCACAAGGGAAATTATTTGGACAAAGTAGCTCACACATCACAATATAAATAACAAAGAGTAAAAAATATATATAAATGGTAATATTAAATTCTAAATAAGTAGCAAAACTACTTATTATTACGAACTTTAGCTGTATATGTACAATTCACAAAATATATTAAGTTTTGTTATAAGTAAAATATGGAAATATCCAATGTTTTTAAGACCTGCTTAATATTACCCATGGCACATTACAAGTTACTTTTATAGCCTTTTGCCCATTCCCAACTGCTAATTAGGTGGTATGACACAAGTGGTACTTCCACTGGCAGTAGACCATGTGCCAAGTGCTGTGGCCGTCAGTGGAGGTTGACTTCAGCAGGCACATATGCAGGGTGGGGTAATAGAGTCTTATGGCCTCATAAAGCTCAAACAAACTATCAAAATTTACAAGCCAATAAAGTGACTGCTGTTTACTGACTGCGATAATCAAGATTACAGAAAAGTCTACGATTGGTCTTTATGCTGTATCAAAGTCCAACATCAGAAATCTGAGAAATTTGCAAACAACTACAAAGATATGACTCATATATTTGAATCTGTTGTTGTTAAGATGTAGAAAAAAGTCTGTAGTATTGACTGTTTGGACAGGTCTGAGGTCTGTTTTTCCATGTCCTCAAATGACTGGAAATGTTTGTAGTCCAGTATAACGTGATGCTGAATCATAGACAGGGGGATCTTTAGACCTAGTAGTGCAGTCAGACATCATGTGACATTGCTTAGTGTTCTACTTTCCTTCCTACCAGGGATTCCCCTATTTAAAATAAAATAAAAAACATGACAAAAAACAGCACACTATACACACTATACATATTCTGTTGCTCATTCACTGAAGGTGCACTTTTTTACTTTAGATAGATATTTTATTGATCACAACAGAAATTCACAATATACAGCTTGTCATGTTGCAGTATTTAAAGAAGGATACAAGGTGGTCAAGAGTAACAGTTTGTTCAACATTGCACTGAGGTGTCATAACCAGAACTATTTTACCCAAACAAAGTGTCAGTGTGAGCTTAACAGCCTGAGGTGATCCGGGTATGTCTACAAGCAATACAAATAACACTAAAACAAACACCAGTAAAGGGACTCCTATAGACTTTGTGGGGGGAAAAAAATCACTGAAAGTTATTTGCACTTGGGAATGACTGGCTGCACTGTGTCACGTAAACTATTTGGATTTTCTCCTAATATAGACTCCAGACCATAGCAATGACTTCAGTTCTGTGGTGGGTCCAAAACAGAGTAAGTGCTTCAACTGCTTTTCCAAAATATTAACAAATCAGAAATTACAAGAAATACATGACCCATTCAAGCGCACAAAGAAAGTCTATCCAAGGTAGCAGCAGTGAGCATCCATGAGCAACAGCATTGTTCTTCTAGTAACGCAGTATTTTATGAATGAGGTTCATCTCCGCACAGTGTACACTATTCAAACTACCACAGGGACAGTAATTGCAGCAGGAGACACACATGGTTTCAAATTGCATGTTTTGACTTACCCACGAGTTCTTTGGGGACTTCTGACACTTCCTCGGCCATTTTCCAAAAGATAAAATCCCAAACTGCAAAAGAGGTTCAGAGCACACACAGAGCAGCCTCCACGGTGAAGAGCGAGGAGCTGAGGCAAGTGTCAGGTGGGTTTCTGCTCACGGTTACATGCTCCACTCCTTCAGTCCGATCAGGCTTTCTCCGTGTGCGCGCATCGCCACCTCTTTGTTTCTTCAAATTTAACGCGCACAAAGAAGATAAAGAAACTCGCTAGTTCTGTCTTAAAATCATCTTGAAACCCTTACTGAGCGAAATGAAAAGACTACCGCTCCGGCTCATCCTCCCTGGTCGTGGCCCTCCCGTAAATCTGTGGCTAATCCAATGCCAGCCAATGGTCGGGACCGGAGCCCCTCCCTGTGCGGTGATGCGACAGCCGGGGAGCTGGCGATGCCGGGGCGGCGTGGCGTGGCAGCAGGAGGCGGGGTACGAGTGTCAAACGAGAAGAATGAACCCTGTGTATTTGTTAGATTATCAGTGACCTCTAGTGGACAATAGTCGAACTCACAGGACCAAATAATAGGGTGTGGGTATTTGTTTGCTACTACTCCTACAGTTGCTCTATAGTCATTATTTTATATGCTCCCTCATCTATAAAGCAGTATGGTCTCCTCTGTGTTGGTGTGAAGTGCTCTATGAAATAAACTGTGATTGACACAACCACGAGTCCGCCATCTACCTTTATGCTTTATTGTAATAATAGGCCCATTCATTGTGATCATTGTCACCTAAATCATCTAAAGTTGGCCTATATCAGGCCTAAATGGATTAAACCATCGAGTGTGATAACCTTCTGCCTTTGACTATAATCTTCATAAAGCTTCCATGGAGAATGTTTTGAAGTATGATTTCATGCAGTTCCACCTCCAGAAAGTTACATGCTGTACCTTTAAATAATGATCAACCCAAAGAAGGGTTCATTTGTCTTTAAATAAAACAAACAGGCAACTTAAATTACAGCTCACCTCACACACTACCAGAAGTACACATGCCACAGTTTGACAAACCTGGTTTACACTGACAGGTCTAGGTCCAGGTATTAAAGCCTGGTACTGGGACATTTCCATTGGCCAATATCCAGGAGGATGTTATGTGTTATGTAAAAAGTCAAGAAAACTTTCACTACTTGGGGGCATAAAAATAGCATTATTTTGTGTTGACTTTCATTATTATGAATACTGTATCAATCAGACACATCTAGAACACAGATATTTTTGTTTTTCATTTTAATAAAATGCTCAGAAAGTACAAAAGCTTAGAAATGACCGTGTCTCACACAATATGTACATCTTTATCTACATAACCCAACATTCATATTAATGTGATACAAACTATAAACAAATATTACTTCGTAAACTTGCAGCATTTGTAATCCAGTATTCAAACAACAAGCCCTTTATATAAAGTAAAATTATTTTAAATATAAAACAATTGCACTCCTTTGTACATTCAAGAAACAGACATATAAAAATAGGCTTTATTTACAAATAGTCCAACATAAACCAAACACAAAGAAATGACTGTAGAATAATATAAAACTTTTCATTATGAAACCAAATCCTTTCTCTCTAAGTGAGAAAGCAATTATATTACACCTGCTGCATATTTATTCACAAATTGTGCTATTTACATCTTAAATAGTTTTAATGTTTCACATAATCCAGTCAAAAAATCTCAATTTCCTTTTTCCTTTTTTTTCAGTTTTCTTATAAAATTTGATTATTTGCCTCTTTTATGTATTCCATTTTACAGAAAAGCACGGATAGAGGTTTCACTTTTTAAAATAACAAAGTTCCTAGAATATATATCTGTGTTAAACACATAAACACACAAACATAATTATTTATATCATGCTTGTGCAGTTCCTCAGTCCTCCAGGAGAGTGCCATTGTCTTCTAGGCTAGGTCCAAAAGACAACCTTTTGAACCCTTGCTGATAAATGTTCACATCGTTATTCATTTAAAGGCTTGTGGATTTTGAAACAGGATTCGTCATCCAGCATGTTGACGAACATCTTCTCATATATCTTATGCGCTGAGGTCTTTCCTATGATCTGTCGGATTTTTCGGAGGCCTTTAAGCAGATGCCGTGGCGCTCCCCGGCTGCGCAGGACCCTCAGGCTGTGGCTCAGCCCTTTGGCCATGTCCAGTTCATAGTTGAGAGACTTCCAGTGGTGAAGGAGCTGCAGAAGGAATTGCCGTGGAGAGCAGGTATGGACCACAGCCAGGACATCATCTTGAGGGACCCGGATGCCAGGGAGACTGTCCCTGATCTGCACAAGGTCATTCAGGGTCACGTTCTTCAGCCCAGTGCAGCGGGAGAACTTCCTCTCACAGGTTTACTCCTAGGACACAGAGCAGCATGTTAACCTGCAGCACCCTCTCTCAGTACAAACCTGTGTGTGCTGAGCATACCTTGAATGACATTGAGTTTGCTCTGGTCCTTGTTCTGCTCTCTCCACAGGCGCAGCAGCTGTAGGACCTGCTGCTGAGGAGAGCATGCTTTCTTCAGACGCTCTAAGCTTTTATGGTCCACTCTGCGCCCGGGCAGGTGCTCCAGGATCCTCTCCAGAGGAACAGAGGAGAGACGCAGAGAGGCCAGAGACTGGAATGCTGCTTCTTCACACAGTGTCACGTCTATGTGAAAGATGAGATACAAGTCATTTATTAATAATAACTGTGAATCATTAATGATCACATTTCATTTACTTTCATTTGTAGTGACATTTTATTTATTTTATAAGCAATCATCTCAGAATGGTGTAAATCTACTTCTGATCAATAAGAAATGCACATTCATACATATACATGTTCTGTACAAGTGCAGAGCAGATGTACAATTAATGCTACTAAAAACAATCTGCCCATGTTCTGATGAATGGTGCGTTAAGATTAAGCTGTTGTTTTTCACTTAGTTTATTATAATTAAAGCAAAACAAACTAAAACTGGTACAATAAGTAAAACAAAAAGTGTGTGCTGCTAAACATACCCCACTTGTGTATCAGCCCACAAACGCATAGAACAAAGTAGTAGCTATTTAAATTTGGTTCACATTTGATAGTGACAAATGATATCAAAGCTATGGGTTTCTCAGCTAACTAGTTTCAGACATTTGTGGCCATGTAGATCATAAGAAAACTCAGAAATGTCTTTACTATGAATTCCCACACATTTGCTCAGACTGTAAGAATCCAGCATCATTTTTGAGGTTGTTGGTTCAGCTAAATTGTCATCATTTGCCACAGTGAATGTGAGTAACAAAGGCTCTGCAGCTTGTCTCGAGTTTAAATGTACTGAGCCAGTTTCCGCTGTTATTGTAGATAGAGGATGTGACAGTTAAGGGGCTAATGAATTCAGCATGGCTTATTATGCGATTGGATACACAAACATCACCATTCAAATGATTACTTTTCTCTCGGCTTGGTTTTCCAACACGCAAAAATGTTGGAAAAGAAAGGAATCTGGACAACAAACCTGACCAAGGAAATCCCCTGCCTAGAGGAATAAAAACGGCCACATGTCTAGAATAATGTCAGTTTTTATGTTGTTGACAGAGAACTATATACTGAGAAATGATGGCTTCAAGTGTTAGTGTGACAAATGTTAACCCTTTAGCTTTGATTCACTAGAGATAGAGGACTCACCGGTGTGGCACAGGGTGTGATGGTGATAGCAGTCCATTGCAGCTGTCCTGTCCTGACTACAAACACTGTCCATAGTGGAGCTCCCCCATCTGAGGGTCTTCAGCCCATGACTGGAGCAGTTTCGATGTGGTCTGCAAGGCTCTGTGGATGAGTGTCCTGCAGAGAAGTGTCCAGCAGGACAATGCTCACAAACCGTGTCACTCACAGGGTTACCTGCAACAGATACAAAATCAAAGCACTTAGACATCAGAGATCAAGATCAGTAGACAGAATTTTTATACGAGTGACTAAGTTCAGGTCATATTTCTGTCCCAACAAATTGTCCCAACATGAAATAAACTGTCTTGTGGTATTTTTTTAAAGCAATCACTTGAATACTGCAGATGGTTTGTGTTGTTAGACACTTATGCAAATTCATTTTAACTGAACAGATGTACATTGCACACGACTATTGTACATATTGAACAGGCCTGTTGTATTTCTGGATTGTCACTTTTTAAGGCAAAAGATTGGAAGGCTGCCATATAAGACCAGAATCTCTGTGATCTTTATGAAAAGGGGATAGCAGGTTATTTGTATTAAACAAGAGAAGAAAGAATACTTTGTAAATATGCAGCCAGCAGTCCAGTTCTAATGCTTGGAGGAATATCAACCCAGACTAAGTCAGGGTCAGGCACACCTCAGGGATCATTAATAATGGCCAGTTCTGTGACAGCAGATTTTTCCTGGCTAAAGTTAGAGTCTGCATGTGCTCTGTTTTGTGTATGTAAATTATTGTTTTTCATAAGGAATAAATGAGAGAAATCTTAATACTCAATAAAGAAGTAAAATATTTCATTAGATGTGGTATTGATGTGTTGCAACATTGTGTAAAGTGAGAAATAAATGTGGCTACATGAAACAATCTCTGGATGACTGAGGGTTTTTTTCAAACATCCTGTGGTGGTGAGTTCTGACCACTGCTGATGGATTACATAATGAACAGGGCTTCGATGCAGGAGGGGAATGCCCCTCTGCTACATCACGGCTGCACAGGGTTTATATGCAATGATGGATCAGACCGAGAGCTATGGAAACTGTGTCTGTGGCAGCTCTCTAGGGGTCCTCTGTGGTCAACAACTGGAAAATACTGCCTCATCATTGGTCTGAAGACAAAGATGAAGTCAGAGGAAGTGCCACAGATTAAAATAAACATGTGCTTTTTTAAAAAATACAATGACGTGGTTTCTGTAATAATGTTTTACATATTTCTATATAAAGTACAAAGATTTTATATAGTCCTGATTTGACTGTTCATTGTGTCTGCTTCTTCTAATCTTGCCTGGAGGAAAATTAACTGGAAAGGTTACATTAGACTACACATTACATATTACATCCTCCTCAAAGCTCTATTTTTATCATATAACAACTACATTACCACAAAGAAGTACCAAAATAGCTCTTACCAGTTAATGTTTATCCTGATTTACAATATATAGTCATATGTCTAACTGTCAGAGTATTATTCTCCATTTATGGACTTTTTTGATGCAAATGTGCTATTTGTAAATGTGTATACAAAATGTTGACCTTTACCTCCGTGTACCAGTGAAAAAAGAAAATTTCAAAGTAAGTCTAAATAAAGTGTAAACAAATCAAGCACATTGTGTTTACTCCTTTTTCCATAGGAAATTAGATAAATTCTGTGCACTGTTAGGTAAAATTAGTGAGCTAAAAAATGAATGAACACTTATTTATTTTATGTTTGTGTGTAGTATTTACCTACGACTGCTGCACCAAATCCAGGCGGACATGTGGTATGTGCGATACAGAACTCGACCACTAGATGGAAGCCTGGAGCACATTCACACAGCTGGTCGTGGGTGCTGTTACACTCTTGCTTCACCAGCTGCCTCTCCTTACACACCTGCATGCAGCAAGAAAAGCACAGCCACAGCGATTTTAAGATACAGAATATGTAAGTGAATTAGCTAATTACAACTAGGAGTGGTACTAGACATAACTCAGGACGAGAAACAACAACATTTTGATATACTATATAATAACTAAATGAAGTGGTTCAGTTCACATCTAGCTTTTTTTCAGTATTTTTGCTGTCATTGTAGCACTGATTTTTGGAACTGAAGCTTCTCAAAAAACATCTTATCCTGTCCCTACTTACAACATATACCACACATAATGTTATGATTTCAGAGGAGAGCTTTCATTTGTGGCTAATTTGAACATTTAGAAAATAAACATAATATAAACATATAATGTAAATACCATAATTGTAAAAAATAGTCACTGCATGGAATACATGCATGTGTCAATCTGAAAAGTGTACAAAGTTTTGTGTGTAACCAGAATACAGACATGTGTGAGAGTGTGTCTATGCTTACAGAGGTGCAGTGTTGGCACTTGTCTCCCCAGTGCCAGTTCATGGTGAAGTGTCTCTCTGGACAGGGCTGGCACACTGTCTCTGTGTGGGCTGTACAGTGGTGCTTGACCGCGGTGCCCGGTGGACATTGGTCACACAGCAGAAGGTCAGAGGTCACCGGGTCCCAGTGCTGGTACTTAGGACGGTCCTGCTGCTGGAACGCCCAGGACAGAGAGACAGTGAAGAGCTGAAACAAGAGAGAGGTCCATCTTTAGTAGGAACAATCACACACTGGGCTCGTTTGGCACATGGTTGAATAGTTTTTGGGATGATCTGTTCTTAAAACTCAGAGCTGAGTTCGGAGATAGGTCAGCACAGAAAGATGAAGATCCTAAAGGACCAACAAAATGATTTCCTTTGTTTTGCAGCATGGTGTCCAACTGAGAAAGTGAAGAATGTTCAACCACACTCTTCACATTATAACAGCTTTTTCCATTTGAAATGACATTCTACATGTATTCTTAGGAAATATTAGAACATATGTTGCACAGGCCCTTAAATTATGGATTTTATTTGATGACATGGCAGATGATATGGCATGGTTTATTTTTACAATGATAGGCTCTAATGCTGTATAATCTACAGAATGAGTGCCTTTGAACAGGAGCACACCGCACCCTCACATGTCCCCACTATAAAGTAGCCCAGTATACGGCTGCTGAAGAGTGGGTGGCCTTTACTGATGGTCTGAAACGGACATATGTAGCAATTGCCTCAAAAACAAGCCCATGCATCATCATTCAGAAGAAACCCCAAAACTTGGTCCAAACCTAAAGTGTAGCTATCAGTTGCAGAGCATGTTTGACATGAGGCCATGCAGCTGTCCCGGGCCACATGTGGGCCAGATGTGACACGACGGGCTGTAGCCCTCTTCTTTGGCTTAGTGGACTTCCCCGTTGGCCCAGAGGCTGAGCGCTGCTTGGACAAACTAACAATAGTGTGTGCATGGTTGTGTGAGTGGGCCTGTGGTTGGTGCTTTCACCAGGTTGTTGTGCATCTTTAGCTCGATGGGTTGATATTGTTACATTAACCAAACATGGTTGATGTGCGTGCAGCAGAGCAGGAATGTGCCACGCTGCCTTGTGCATTTTTGCCTTGAATTCAGATCTAGTTACAGCCTCTCTTAGTGTTAGTGTGTACATCCTGCGGTCTCCGCTGCTGCCCGCTGTTCATAAAGAAAACTGTTGGAGGTTACTGGGCTTTCCCCATCGCCACCACAATACAAAACACAAGGCCTGTATGCGATAGTTTCTTCACTGAACACTATTGCATTCATCTCCTTCTCTGCGGTCACAACAAAGCCCTGTCTATACAAACGCATGTGTCAGATTCGAAGATAAGAACTGGTTCAGTCTGTACATATGAAATTAACAAAACATTCTGTTAAACATTTAAGCAAAATCCTGTATGCTTTGGATTTTGTCTGTGTAGAACAAAGAGCTGTGGCATTTCCTTTGCTTGATGGTTTAGTTGCTGTAATAGCCATTTATTTCATATTCATGATTTATTGACACAAAGTCATACACATATAAAATTAAATAGTAGTTTAGTCTCATTCTCTTTTCTGTAATCAGGGAGATTGAAATGAATAAAAATAGATGCATAGCTTTTACCATGATAGAAACTTCAAAAAGCTTGGCTAGAGCAGTGGTTTTCCCGGCAAAACCTATCGACCTTTGGTCTAACATTTGGTAAAAGTCTTTCATCCAGAGGCACAGAGCAGCGCTGTGTGTTTGTTTGTAACATGGGTGGCCTCAGCGGGAATCAAACCCGTAATCATCGTGCAGCACTTTAAATGAAGTCTGTATATACACTATTAAGCCCTCAGACCACATCCAATCAATATCAAAGCCAATGCGGATCATAGGAACCAGAGGAGGGTCATCTAAATTTACTATGCCTTCTGTTAAAGTTGTTTCATTTCAAAAGAGATGAAAAAGCTCTACATATAGTTTAAATGTGTTAAATACATTTTATCTCCAAGCAAATCAAGTCTTGGTCTGAGTGTTATCTGTAATCTGGATAGTAAGACTAACTTTTCACACTTGTTCTTGCCATAGATGCTGCATTTCAACCACATCTTGGCTGACCACTGGAAACACCAATTACACAGTAACAGTGACCACCGCCAACCATAATTACACTGTGAGCATCATCACAGGGGCTCAGTCCGAGAGTATGCTGTAGTGTGGGTAATTACATCAGGAAAATTGAAGGGGCAATAGATGAATCAAATTAGAAAACAAACCTAAATGTATCAGTCAGATCAGTGGTGTATAATAAATGGTTACTGAATGAAACAGATATACAGTTGATGTACAGGTTTCAATAGATTTAAAATCATTCAATCATTTTCATTTTATTATTACATTTTGCCTGTAGGCTTTCCTGAGTCAGACATAAATCTATGACAGCAGTAAAGACCTAAACCTCAGTCAGTACAGTTCTCCAGGGGCACATGGCTTCAGTTAACTGTAGAGCGCAGGTGGTCTTCAGGGGGATTCCAGCCTGCCCGTTTGTGTGTGCACATGCATGTGTGTCTAATGTCAAATTAGTCCTCCACCTCTGAAGGACAAGTCACTGAAATATGCCACCACAGCTATTTTAACCACAATTCAGACTTTATTGTTTGGTCAATGTGCACATATAGTTTTTGTTTGTTTGTTTGTTTGTTTTTTGTTTTACTTTAAATTAATTTATAAATAGTTCAAATGCCAATGTAATTTTAATATAAAATAAATCAGAAGTAATTTAAACATAATATCATTCGGTCTTCTTTGATTTTCACATAAATATGCAAAGATAATTCCTTATACTAACTGTCATTACCGTGCCTTGCACACATGCTCGCACTGAACTACAACTGTCCCACATACACAAACCTCACAAACTGCTGTTATCAGCACCACTGTTGATCCAAAAGAGGAAGTGGCAGTAACTTCCACAGGTAAACCTAAACGTTTGGACTTGTTTGTTGATCCTCACACGCCTCTCTTTGTCTGTGGGCAGACTTCCTCACCTGCTCATAGTACTGGTCTTTAGGCAAAACATACAGGGCACAGACAGGGTACTGTGACAGGGTGCTGTGAGGACCGCAGCTCAGGTTAGGGAAGTTGTTGTGATGAAACGGAGAATAAAGATACATATGAAGGATGCCATTTAATGTTTGCTTCCCCCTTTTACACAACAACAGCAACATGACCTGAGAATGCGTTCACGCACAAACACTTCATCAAAAGCAAGCTAGAACTGGACTCTCTGAACCGGGCTCTAACCAGGACAAAGATCAGCACAGCTCAATCCACATCCAGTGAAATGAGTTTACTTTTTTTTTTTTCCACTTTTGCACATTTGCTGAAACTTTGCACAAACCTTGCACACCTATTTATACAACGCACAAAACAATTCAGAATCAGAATATTTGAAAAACTTTATAAACAAAATGTAAAACACTATTGAAAAAAGGACACTTTGGTTCAAATATAAATGCAATCGGCAGATTTCTAAATTTATTTAACCATCATTCAGTGACTGGCTGGAGAATGTTACTTGTACTTTTGCACGTAGTGTGAGGGAGTCAGGGACCTGTGGGACCAGTATCACATTGTCTCTAATGGTTTGAGAGGACGGTACATGCTGCAAATATGTGTCAAATATTGCACAATAATTTACGAAACAAAAAAATTTATCTGTTCTTTTTAGCAGTTGGTATCAAACTTTGGACTGTCTGAATGAAAACACGGTTCACACAGGTTTTCACTACAGAAGTCATTTTCTTCTGTGCTTCTGTGTGTCTATTACATCTCTTCATATTGTGATGTGTGTTCACTTTTGTGCTTTCGTTCTGTAGAGCGTGGAGTATTTAGGCACAAACTATAGCACTTGCAGCCAAAGTGCTGCAGCTCCAATCTGTGTTTGAATAGTTGATGTGTTTTAGGTTCTAAAAAAAGTGTTAATGTTTTAAAATGGATATAAGGTTGTGCCAACTGAACTGAATATTTGCTCTGTGAGTGAGAGGAATTTGTGCCAAAATCTACTTTAGTGTGAAAGAGACTGAAAAACACTGGAAACAGAAAGGACAGTGACCACATGTGTGAAACACTCAGGACAGCAGGAAGAGCACACATGTGTAGATAGTGGAGTGGAGTGGAGACCCTGAAGCAGGGTCAATATCACTGAATGAGCCGATATCTGTCTATTGTTAAGTGTCACTTTACAATATACTCTAGTAAAATTATTAAATTAAATGATCTATTTCCTTATCCACAGTTACTGACTTACAGTGTTGCACAGCAGAGAGTGTGATAAGACATAATATTTGACAGTAAAAGGAGGTTGGAGCTCTTCTACACATGCCACTGAACTAAAAGGTAGCCTATTCTGAAGCCGTCATTCTTTAACTTCACAAAGCACAAATGACACTGTGCCCTGTATATCTGCTGCTACTGATCAGTAACAGATAAAGATCATATTAAAATATGCAAAACCTGTACAACACAGCACTGAATGCAAATCCATAGGGCCGAACTCTATACACGCATTAAGAAAGAGTACGTTTGTGTAATGGAGGTAATTAAGAATACAGTTCACCCTCAGGTTTCACTTGTCATATATTGGATGTTATTGCTATTCAGTTCACAAATACAGTATGAAGCAATTATAACAGTTAGTCCCTTGAGGCAAAAAATACATAAATAAATAAAGAGATGATAATAACCCTACTGATATTAAATTAAAACAAGTAACTGTCCATTCATACATTCACATTCATAAATCAAAGAAAAGGGAAAATCGAACTTAGATTTTCTCTTTTTTCTCAAATACTTCCCAAATTACTTCAGCTCCCATGACCAGAGACATTACATATCCTGATAAATTTTACATCAACCATAACAGAAACATGGACACGTGGGTTCTGAAACATACATAGCACAAAGGCCTTTTTTCATTCGGTATGCAATATACTATAGCCCATAGCGTGTCAACAAACTCAAACACGCATGAACATTGGACTAGTGTCGCTCCAAGCGCGAAGTGAAGCGAGTAAAATAGATCTTAATTAATTATTTTCGACTGCAGCCCAGCAACGTCTGACATGCAAAATGAGCACAAACTAACTCCTTACGAATAAAATGTAGCATTGTGAATAAATACATGTGTCACTCACCACTATAAGCTTCATGGGTCTGGATTTGTATATCCGAGCGCTCATCTCTGTTGCGTAAAAGTCAACTGCGATAGGGTCCCCATCACGGATCTGCTCTTATAGCCTAGCCACTGGACGAGAAGAGGACCGCGCAGTCAAAACCCACCCCTTTGCGTATGCTTTCATCACTCCTAAAAATAAACTCCTGCTCCCACACCAGTTAAATCTTACGCAAATTGGCCGTAGTTTGTCCGGTATGTTGTGGAGCGCGAGTATTACATCCACAGCACATCCATTAACGAATTTGTAAAGCTTTTCTTTTGAATGATCTTTAGCGTAGTTTAAGAAGCTTTTATATGTATCAGTATCATGAACATTTTTATTCATCGAAATTACGGTATGGTACAGATAAGTGGGGCTTGTCTAAACCTATAAAGTTATATTTATACACACATGTGTATTATATTTATAAGAGAGATGCTAGAAAACAAAGTCATAAGATTTCTGACTCAGAAGCAATTACTCAAGAGCACAAAACTTACTAACCTCTGAGTGTGTACATGTGTCACTCCAATGTGCCTCCAGTTCAGTAGTCAGTGCTGGCTTATGGCATAATATTGTTAGGGATCACTGATCAAACATCTTGTTAAAGGTGCTTTGTATCTTCGAGTGAAGGGTTCACCTCCATGAACATGTAATTGCTTTGAAAGGAAAGTTTCACAGTATGGCATTAAAATCATTCATTTTCATAGAGACAGCTAGACTAGATTTCAGGTCAGATGTGTGGACAGGCAGCCATGCTAATTATAGAATATTGTTTTTATTTGCAACAAAATGTAAAATATTTTTAATGCCATGCTGGAACAGTGCAGGCAAAGCTATCAAACTCCAACAGAAACAAGTAGGCAGTGGACCCCACTAGAAAAGTTACAAAGTGCAACTTTACATCAGGGTAAAGAATTAATCACATTCTGCTTTAGTGTTTTGTGTTAGTGTTAGAGTTATTACGCATCACTGTGCGTACTAGATTGCGATTTGTATAAACTGAAAATGAAATTAAATATCTTAAAGAAATGAATCTAAGCCTCCTTCTTTCCTGTGATTGTTTTTTGCAGTATAGGAGTAAATGCAGTATAAACGTCAAGGCTAAACGTCACTGTGAGCTCCAGGAATATCACAATAGAGAAGCCACAATGATACGTTTCACTGGAGGAACAGAAGCCATGATGTGGACCGCTGATGTCACAGAACAATCTGGTTTCCCTTTTTGACCCATATCAACAACAACACACAGTGGGCCGACGCTTACACATGGAAGGTAGCTCATATTGTCTCAGAGTATAGTGTATGGTCAATTTTGACCAAAACATTAAGCAAACAGTCTGTGAATAAGCAAATAAGCAGACCAGAAGCGTGGCTATGAACCTATTTAGGGCTTTTTATTTAATTTGTCAAAAACAGTTTACTGAAGATTTTAAATGGTGACATTGTTTTTATGCTTAGGTCAGTTTGTAGAACTCGCTGGTTCTATGGCTTTAATTTCAATCTTACCAAGATTCTATCTTACCATCAAAATTTTTATTAGTTATAAAGGGGTTATACATTCAAATAAATAATTATATCAGCATTCTTAACAAAAGAAAGAGAAAACAAGTGAAACTATATGTGTATTTAAACATACAGAGCTATTCTGAGCCTCATGATAAGTTGTTGTGGCTGTGTGATAGATACAGTCACTAATTGCAGGAGAAAACTTAAGGTTTAAGTCTGTTCTGCTTCATTTTTACTTATGGTCAGTTTGTTTTCTTTGTGTCAATGAGGAATGGTGACCTTAAGAGCACAGATTTCCTTCAGCCACATACTGTATTTTAATGTGTTTTTTTACAGACTCACATGAGCCATGTTGCCTTGTTAAGGTTGTTGACCTTCTCATATTCATCCCTGTGACTTTCTGCGGTCCACCTCAGAGGTTCTGTTTCTGTATTTTTTTATATCTCATACTACTCCAGCTTCTTAGAAAGAAATTTTACTAGACATGTATTTATTTGAACAACATAAAATAGAGGAAGACATAAATAGTAGTTATTTACCTGAGGGAAAGACAGGTTATAAAGGGAAATTCCCCAGAAATTGTAGCAACTTCATTGGCATAGAAATGAATACAGCTATAGTTTATTAAGAGTGGCTGGAGGATTTATAATGTGCTTTATATGCTTGAAAACAATTTTATGCACTTAGTCACTATCTTTAGTGAGACCCAGGATAGAACCATTCATCTACAGCTATAAACACCCCTTGTCATTTCATCAGAAAACCTTAAAACCAAGATTTTATTGATCCACAAGGGAAATTATATTGACACAGTAACTCACACGTCACAATATACTATTGTAACAAAAAGTATAAAAATAAATAAATATAAATAGTAAAAATACATGCAATATAAAAAAAATAAAAATCAAAAATAGCAAGGGGCTGGTATCAAATAAGGTATAAGTATTGTATATGTACAAGAAAAAGAAAAAAATATAAATATAGTAACTATATTTCGGCTATATACAAGAGGTCATAAGGAGAAACAGTGCAAAGTCTAAATGGTGATTGACAGAGAGTTATCTATTTCATACATAGTACAGTATGGTACAGTATTAGTATCAGAGCACCGTGTTCAAAACTAATGCTTTTGCTCCCTGACTCTCCTCTATTGACCCAGTGCTGAATGATAAGCAGACACAGACTGGACTGGGGCAGAGGGCTGCAGCCGCCGACCCTATGCCCAGCCTTGGAAGTGCTGCCAGTCAAAGCATGAGTCACATGTGACCTTGGAGAAGAAATAACACAGAGGGATCCCTGCACTTCCACAGTAGCTGATGTGGTCTTCTTGTTTTCCCTGCTGAGGTTTCTGTAAATGATTTAGGGGAAACTCGGCTGCGCTTATGAAACGCTTGGTGTTGGGAGTGACGTACATAATGTGCCTCACTCAAGAGGTCTCCATGTGAATGAACAAGTCACTTTGATATGAATAGTACTACAAATTTATTTTTGAGTTTTCTGTTTTGGTGCCACGCTGCTGTTTAGAGGGCGATGTTTGTCCATGTCCATGTCTGTCAAAGAATGGACATCATAGGTCAACTTCAGTGGTCACTGTGTGGTGGCAAAAGGACATGGTTTGGCTAATGTCACATAAAAACTACTCATAACGTAATGACGTGTCCTATAGTTTCAACTCCAGCTAAATTGCAATGAATCATTATAGCATTTTGATCCATACACTGGGCTGATACTTGCATTGATTATAAGTGAAACTCAGATCATTGTCAGTTCTTCACATCCAACCCCAAAATATCAGTAGAGCTTAACGGTCATCAGCTGCTTTATCTTTTTAAACATTGACATCATTCATTATGATTTTTAAAATTTGACATAGACAATTTTAAAAAGGAACATTTATTGTGTTCATGTCAGTGTCTCAATTCCTGACCTGTGCCATTTCTATGAATAATCTTTGTTTTAGAGAATAGGTTTTATCACTCCTGAGTTGTGAGTGAGAAGTCTGTGGCTCAAATTAACCAAGGCTTGTTTTGAATACGAAACGTGACACCTCCCCTCACAGCCATAATGAAGTAGTGAACTAGACCGTGGACTATGCACTAATAAGAATTTTGATTAAGAGTCCTGCTCCTGGTGCTATATTTACCCAACAAGCAGGTGCACCTATGGCTTCAATTTTCCTATTTGCTTTTAAGCAGCATTGTTTGGTGTCTATGAATACAGCAAATGTGTGTGAGGGGAGCGTGCTTAACACATTTTTAATTATTTAGTCAATATCATGTGAAAAGTGACAGCTGGACTACAGTCAACAACAGTTGCTTCAGTTTTTTTTTTTTTTTATAATTTAATGAATAAATTGATGAAGGTGTGATTGTACAAATCACATGTCTAATCCTTTGTTGTTCATCAAAAATCCAATCTTTCAGTGTGAGGTAACAGTACCACTTCCAAAAAACAAAAGATGAGGATATTATTGGTAAACTCATATCAATCAATATTAGAGCAACCCAAAAAAATCACAAATAAGTCCTCAGTGAATTTCATTAAAATATGACAGCTTTGCCATTGATCTGAAATGTGACTGTAATATACAGTAAACATGAAGCATACTAAATACAGTAATGTCACTTTGACAGTGAGGTTTCCACATGAGTAGCAGACTTTGTTGTCTTTTTCCATGATTATCTGGAGTATTTTCCACTGGGCTAATCTCCTGCAGCCTTTGGTTACCTTGGAAAAGATGACAAACAGAGCAGAGCCCCTCAAACAGCAGTGTTTCCTGTTTCTCTCCAGGACGCAGACGCTGCAGGCTTTCCCAGCACTGGTACTCCTGTTCTGGTGCCCAGAGTACAAGTCTGTACTAAACAAATGCAATAAAGGCCATGTTTGTGGTCTTCTGCCAAAGACTTCATGTTTGTGTGTCTACAGTGGTCAGCGGAACATGAGAGGTTGGGACATAGGACACTTCGATTCTGTGCTGTCGCATTTGGAAATGAGTACTAAAAAGAAAAGCCATTTGATCTGGGCCAGATTATAAATATATATTATGGGCTATTTAGTCTGGTCATTTAGTGTATTTGTTTGCTTTCCAATGCTTTTTGGAAATCTTGGAAACAACAGTCACACAATTATTCATTGGCAAACCCCAATATTTGGCTCAATGGAAAATGAGGTGGCAAATAATGCAACAGTAATCCCAACAGAAGCTAAACAATAAGTACACAGTTTCACTTCACTGAGTCACACACATATAAAAACTTAATTGCTTTAAGTCATTCCCTTCACCTTACGAGAAAAGAGATTTTCATTCTCAAAATGTGCAAAAAGTGGTCAAACATGGGTAAATACAGTCAATTCCAATTTCCAGGAAAATGAAAAGTGAAAGTCTTTGCTAATTTGGGGGAATTATAGCATTGTTTTTTTTTTTTAACGTTTTTTTAATTCAGTAGGTCATGAACTAGTGCAATCTGAACATAAAAAAAAGTTCTGTGCATACTGAGACTCGCTCAAAGACATGAACGCACATTTGAAAGTGCTAAATCCACTGATGGGTTGACTGCCAGTAAAGGGGCTATATTTGTCTGAGCTGGGGTCTGGCTGACTGGAAACGACAGAGG